CTAGCAATGCTGAGCTTTCCTTCTGTTGATTGGCCACTAGCATTTCTGTGGTGAATGTTTTTTAGAGTCTTATGCCTATGTTTTAGTTTATTGCTTTTTCTTGTTGAATTGTAAGAGCTCTTTATATAGTATAGATATTAACTCCTTAGATGTATATGATCTGTGCATACTTTTTCTGGATTGTCATTAAAAATAGTATCTTTTAATATCTTTTAATAAAATTTTGATTAAATTCTATTTGTCTATTTTTATTATCTGTGGATTTTGGTGTTGGATCTAAGGAATTACCAAATTCATTCTGAAAAATAATTTTCTTTGTTTGCTAAGAATTTTGTCATTTAGTGCTTAAGGCCAGGTTTTTGTTGTTGCTTTGTTTTATAGTACTGGGGATTGAATCCAAATCCTTAGCACAAAGCTACATCCCTATCCCTTTTTTGTTTTTAAATTTTGGGGCAGGGTCTAGCTAAATTGCCCATGCTCAGTTTGAACTTGTAGTCTTTCTGCCTCAACCTTCCAGAGTGATAGGATTGCAGGCTGTACTAACATATCTGGCCAAGGTTAGGTGTCTGGTCTGTTTTGAGTTAATTTTTGTAAGTGAATAGAATAAAGCTCCAACACCATTTGTTATGCCTTATGTCTAGATGTCCTCTCAAAGACTCATGCAGTCATTAGGTGGGGCTTTTTGGAGGTGGCTGGATCTGGAATGTCTGGTGCTGGAATCATGGATGTATGATTACTAAATCAGTCCACTGATGGGTTTGGCATAGTTCTGGGCAGGATTAAGGGTTCCCTACTCTGGGCCTGAATGCTCTCTGTCCTAAGGATGAGTAGGCTGGATAAGGCGTAAAGGATAGAAAGAGGGTTATAGTTTGCTTGCCCTTGTTTTTTGTCACTTGTTTGTTGCTTGTCTTCTGGTCTACAGAGCTGTCTGTCATGCCACCTTGCTTGGAGCCAGCTGATGATGGATTGAAACTTCTACAGACTGTGAACCGAAATAAACCTTTTCTCCTTTAACTTTGAGTGTTGAGTATAAAAGTTCCTGAGATACCACTCTCTTGTACATGTATATCCTTTGTTTCCAACACTCTTTGTTGAAGAGACTATCCTTTCCCCTTTACATGCTGTCAGCATTTGTGTTGAAAATCATTTGACCATACAGTAAATACATCAAGGATTTATTTCTGGGTCCTCTAGTCTATATATGTCTGCATTTATGATAGTACCACACTGCTTTGATTACTGTAACTTTGTAGTAAGTTTTGAAATTAAGGAGTTGAAAGTTTTTTCTGTCCTTTTTTTAAAGATTCTTCTGTTTATTTGGGGGTCACTTGAGAGTCTATATTAATTTTATAGTAGATTTTTCTATTTCTGAAAAAAAAATCTCTGGGACATTCATAGGAATTAGAGTGAATTTGGAGATTTTTTTTTTTTCTAGTCTTACTAGTAAATTTTCCAATCCATGAACACAGGATATGTCTCCATTTATATTTGGCTTCAGTTTCTTTCAACAAAGTTTGTAAGAAGTATAAATCACTTTTAATTTTAAGGCTGTATTTCTTCCATTATTGTCAAGAATGAAGTATTTATATACTACTAACAAGTCAGAGTAGTTTTACTTTTTCTCATTAATTTCTGTTACGTTCTGAATCTGGGTGTATATTTCCTGATAAAGTTATGGTATATTTTCATTGATTTACCCAAGCTTATGATAGTTTATAAAGATTCTAATTTTTCCCCCCAGATAAAACAGAACCTTTCTGTTTGGGATAGATTTTACATTTATTGTATATTTAATTAGAATGTGTTCACTATTGTGCTAGGCACCAAAGAATAAGGCTGTGTTCAGTGCTTCCATCTTTCAGTCACAGAGAAATGGGACCTGCACACAAAATATGAAAGCAGCGTATGGTTATGATCATCAACTGTCAAAATAAATGAGCAAGTTCATAAGCAATATTAAGATAATTATTGTGGCCTTAAGAGATCATTGATGTTTACATGGAAAAGTTTAATCTTGAAGTCAATCCTAACAAATGGAGGAGGGGTCACTTTAGGTAAGGAAGAAAACAAAGAAATGCTTAAAAATAGGATTGAATATGGGTTCTGAGATTAGTATATAATGAGACCAAATTTTATTATTGTACTAACAACTGTGACCACAACCAGAAAATTGACAATTTATATATAAGCAATGTGTCAGAGAGTAAAATTCTACTTTATCTGAAAACTATTTCCTAGATATGGGACAATACCCTATTTTCTCAGGCTAAGTGAAAATGCAGTAAGATAGCTGCCTTCATAGGAAGAAAACAAAGTTTTTACTTCATAATGCAGGGTGATGAATCATAAAGGAAATATGGACAATCACTGGAAACATTTAGATTTTCAGAGTTTTTGGAACAGCTGCCCTAGATGCTTTCGAGATACAGTAAAGGCCGGGACAGACAAACAATTGAAAGTTTATTAGACTTTACTTACTTCACTAGTAATGAGAATAATGCATCTCAAATGTTGTATTTATACAAAGACATTCCTTTTAAATGGTGCTCTAAATGCCTTTTAAATGGAACTCTAAGCTACAAGAATTTTTTACTGCTTTTTAAATTTTTTCACATTACTTTGTTTTGGACTTAGAAATTCAGTCTTTTTGCTTTTATATAAGATTTTTGCACATCTTTGCTTAAAATGTAAAATTCATTCATAATGGGATACAAGATTAATATTAAACCAATACTGATGTTCCTTTACACATTGTTGAAACAGACTATAAGTATTGTACTTTTGCTTATATATTGCATTGATAGTGGTTAAAAGTATGACCCTATTGGTAATCTTTTTAAGCAAATGAAACTGTTTGGATGCTTTCCCAGGATGATTGGGTTGCCCTCCAGACGAATCTCTTCTATACGGTCCCGAATGTAACGGGTGTCATTAGACTTGCAGAATGTATCATCTGTAACTGAAGTTATGTTGTTAAACTGAAAAAGAAAAAAAAAAATGTTTAAAAGTCTGAAATTGATCTATTGCATGCTGTCTAATGGGATTCCAAAGACTATCTTATCTAAAAAGTACTTAAAAAATAATAGTACAGACCATATATCTTCACAGGAACTAAATCCTTCCTGTGCAATTTAATCATTTTAAATGTGTAGTGTTATTTTAGAAGACTTCTTGCCATTATTTGGGATACTATCCATGTAGTGTGAAGTTTGGAATATAAGATTATATGGGCTAGCTGAAGAAAGTATTCTATCCTAAAGTGTCAGCTCAAAATGGATACTGCATCCTTAATTGTGTTCTACGTGGGCGAAAATCAATTAAAAAATATGTAGTACAGGGTCTTCAGGGTTAATTGTGCTCTAAAGTAGTAAAAAGTCAGACTTTGTGATGTATGCCTGTAATTTTGGCACTCTGGCAGGCTCAGGCAGGAGGGTTGGAAGTTCAAGCGTAGCCTGGGCAAGAAATCCTATCTCAAATAAAAAATAAAAAGGGCTGGAGTTGTAGCTCAGTACTCTATGGTGATGAGTTTAATGCATCACCACAAAAGAGAAGAGTGATTTCTTATGATGCTGATTAATTTTAGTTTATTTCCAACTTAATATTATACTCTAAAACCAGCTAAAAGTCTCCAAAAGCAGATGTGCACCACTATATGGAGAAAGAAACAAATCAGAGGCCTGAGTGCTTCTTCCCTCCTAATCCATGTTAGGATTATTAGAAGATTCCATGTGTACTTCTGGAGACGAATCCTGCTCAAGGGCAAACTTAATACCTACAAGGCTGCTTTACTTGGTATCCTCTGGAAGCAGAGTTCATATGTCTATATATTAATATTCTTTTTATGGGCAGTTTGTGGGATTGAATCCATGCTTTCTGAGGTATAGAGAACCTGTACCAGTGTGCTCGCTCGCTCTCTCTCTCTCTCTCTCTCTCTCTCTCTCTCTCTCTCCCTCCCTCCCCCCCCCTCCCTCCCTCCCTCCCCCCCCATCTGTCTGTCTGTCTGTCTGTCTGTCTGTCTGTCTGTCTATCTATCTCTCCATCTATCTCTCTATTGACATGGTCTTTCTGAGTTGCCTGGAACTAAAAAGTGCAATACTTCTGCCTCAGCCTCCTGAGTAGGTGGGATTATAATGCCCTGCTAGAATTGATGCTTCTAATAAGCATTATCACACTACTATAATGATCTAACCATGATTTATACATGGAAGCATAAGTTTTCCAACAATTCATGAGAATGACTCCTAGCTAATTAAAGCCAGACATTATTGAAGGAGCAATCATACCTGCAGATGAATTATACGCAGGCTTTCTGGTAAATTGGGAGGCACAGATTCCAGAGCATTGTGGTCCAAGTAGAGGAAAGAGAGCTTATTCAATTTCTGTAATGCAAATTTGGTTTGAGTGTTATTGTAGTCTGCATTCTTTCACAGGATTCAAGTAGCATATACACAAAAAAGGATATTGTTACAAACACATATCAGTATCACTTGTTGGTATGGTAGTTTCTTACTTTGGCTGGTGGTTTTAGTTTCACAAGTAATGTGCTTAGCAAGATGTCTCTTGAAGCAGTTTATTTTTTTTTCCATAATTTTATTGAGAAACAAATAGCAATGAGACAGTTTCAAACCAAATTGGTAGGACAGTTTCAATAATTAACATATTGAATACATT